GGGGGGGGGGATAGGGAGGGGAGATGGGAAGGGATGGAAAGGGGAAACAAAGGAGGAGGCAACAATGCTTGATAAGAAATGTACTCATTAACTTGCCCACGTAACTGTAACCCAGTTTTCACAATTAAAATTAATTAATAAATTAAATAAAAACTTAATGGTGATTTTATTTAACAGTTAATGTTCCCTATAAAATCTTTTGACTTTATAACCATTAAATGTTTTCTCTGTGTGTGGCGGGGGTGGGGCGGGGAGGTAGTATAAAATGTAGTAAATTGGAGACTAATATCTGGATATTGTTTTACTGTGGCAGCTGATTTCGTCAGTTGATCCACAGTTCCTGAAACTCACCAAAGTAGATGATCAGATCTACTCTGAGTTCCGGAAAAGTTTTGAGAAACTTAAGATAGATATTTTGGACCCAGAAGAACTTAAATCAGAAACCGCTAAAGAGGTAAGAATTCTCTCGTAAATATTTATTACCTGGCATCTGGCCAATAATTCTATTATGTCGTTAAACTTTTTGAAAAAAAAAAAGTAAAGCAGCTGAGCACTAGTGAGTGGCTCAGGCATGTAATCCTAGCTACTTGTGAGGCTGATATCTGAGGATCACGGTTCAAAGCCAGCATGAGCTGAAAAGACAATGAGACTTCTATTACCAGTTAACTACCAAAAAGCCAGAAGTAGAACTGTCGCTCAAGTGCTGTAGCATCAGCCTTGAGTGAAAAAGGTAAAGAACAAGTATTCAGGCTGAGTTCAAACTCCCATACTGATCCAAAAAGAATTTTTGTTTGACAGAAAATAAATAAGGAATCAGGAATTTTTTTTTGTCTTTTTTCTTTTTTGGTACTGGGGATCGAACCCAGGGCTAGGCAAGCGCTTTGCCACTGAGCTACATCCCAGCCCAAGAATCAGGAATTTTTGTAGTACTGATTTAAAACATAATTTACTAGTATTAGCAATGACTTCAATCTCAGTACCTTCTACAGTTATTTGCATTAATGAGAGACTTGAAGCCCCTGCCCTGGCCTTTGAGTACACGATTCTCTTAGGTTTTGCCAGTAAAGCATCATTTTTTGCCTTTGTAGATGTGGAGGCCATTCTGTTTGAAGTTTGAAGGCCTTGTAGAAGACTTCAACTATGGTACTCTTCTGCGACTGGATTGTTCCAAGGGCTACACCGAGGAAAACACCATCTTTGGTGAGTTTCTTGTCTCTGGAATTGTTTGTATACAATGTGAGTAGGAATCTGATATTACTGATCAATCAATAATGTGTGTAGTTAGGTTGGAGATCTTGTTATTTGTTCTATCTTTATAAAGATGTTGTTACAATTTCTTGAATGACTGTATGATAGGTATTTTTAGTTTTAATAATGTGAATTAGATCTCTGGCGCTTATGACTATACGTGAAGGTTCTGCATCTTAGTTAAGATTGGTCTGTAGATTTCTAGTAGATTTAGAGAATTACTTGAAACTAGGACAATAATCAATTCTTTTTACCTTCCAGCACCCAGGATACAATTTTTTGCCATTGAAATTGCTCGGAACCGGGAAGGCTATAACACAGCAGTTTATACTGTTCAAAACAAAGGAGAGAAGGGAGCTGGCAATAGAGACAAGGGAGAGAAGGAATCTGGCAGTGGAGGGAAAGGAGAAAAGGAAGCTGGTAGTGAAGAGAAAGAGAAGGAAGCTGGCAGTGGAGAGAAAGTTAAGAATGGAGCTACTGATAGTGAAGGAGAAAAAGAGAAAACTGATGAAGGAGAAGAAAAAAGCCAATAAAAAATCAGTGGAATTGCTACATGGGAAACAGTATTCCAGAGCATGTAACTCAGCTGAATCCACAAGTACCAGAACTTATCTTTCTGACCTGATAATCAGGAGCTGCTGTGGTTATTTCCCCAGACTCCACTGGCTTATTAGTAGCATATTTCGTTTCTTGTTTCTTGGTTCTCACTGCTGGTTAAATAAAGAATTTTATAAATAAATTGATTTCAGTTCTTATGATTATCTTCATGTGTACCTGACTTAAAAATAGAGGAGGAGCCGGGCGCTGGTGGCTCACGCCTGTAATCCTAGCTACTCAGGAGGCTGAGATCTGAGGATCGCAGTTCAAAGCCAGCCCGGGCAGGAGAGACCGTGAGACTCCTATCTCCAATAAACCACCAGAAAACCGGAAGTGGCGCTGTAGCTCAAGTGGTAGAG